TTGAGACAGGGTCTCACTCTGTCACCCAGCCTGGAGTCCAGTGGCATGATCATGGTTTACTGCAACCTCGACCTTCCCAGGCTCAGGTTATCCTTCTGTCTCAGCCTCCCAAGTACCAGCGACTACAAGTATATGCCAACATCCCTGGCTAATTTTTGTATTTTTTGCAGAGATGGGGTTTCTCCGTGTTGTTCAGGCTGGTCTTGAACTCCTATGTTCAAGTGATCTTCCTGTCTTGGCCTTCCAGAATGCTGGGATTACAGGCATGAGCCACCGTGCCTGGCACCACCTGCTCTTGTTTTATGAATACAATATCTTCTTTTATCACTCTGAAGATAGTATTTTTGTTCATTTTGTTCTTATTTCCTTCACAGCCTTTCTTTTCTATTTCCTTTTTTCTTTATTTTTTTTCTTCCTTTCTCATTCTTTCTTTCTCTTTCAGCTCTATCTCTATCTCTATCTCTATCTCTCTCTTCCTGTTTGAACAGTGGTTCTTAATAGGAAGAGATTTTAGTCCCGAGGGCAATATCTGGAGATGTATTTGGTTGTCTGTCACAACTGGGAATTTGCACTACTGGGATCCAGTAGGTAGAGGCCAGGGATGCTGCTAAATATCTTACAATGCACAGCACAACAAGGATTATCCAGACCCAAATATCAGTAGTGTTGAGATAAGAAAAACCTTGTTTAGAGGCTTTTCTCAAAAGTCTTATTGTCCTTGATTCCTCACTTATATTTTAGGAGAAACACTGAAAAGTGTGATTGGATTGATTGTGTGATTATGAGTGGAACTTGCTGGCTGTGAATTTCATGATGGGTTGATCTGGATATGCAGTTTCACTGTGGGACTTCTTACTCTCTATGTTTATAGCTTTTCTCTTTGGCTAATCAGTTTATTCAGAGAAGAGTCATTCAATTTCCTGCCTGGAGAGTTTAAGTCTAGTGGCCAATATTCTAGGAGCTTACAGAAAAGTGAGCGACCCAGTATGTAGAGTGTCTTCAGTACAGTCTCATACCCACCTCAGCTGTAGCTGGCATCCCTGGTACCCAGTTCTTCCTAGTTTGGTCTCTGCAGGGAATCTGGCCGCTAGTCATCTTCTCAGGTAGAAAGGGGATGGGAGGGTGATCTAGGATTCTAGTTGCCTCTTATGATATATGTCAAACAATCTATTTTTAGTCCTACCTTCACCCCACTTTCAGAGTTACCTGGTACCTATAATTACAGAGCTTCTTTCCTTTGCATCATCCCCCTGGATTGCCTCTTGAGGAGGCTGATGCAAAGAAACTGCTTAGATTTCAGCTGTCTCTAATCTGTGAAGTAAGCAACAAACTTTCTGCAGCATTCTAGCTTCCAAAATGTCAGTGCTACTCTTCCTGTCCTTGTGGGCTTATAACATTCTTCCTTTTTCTAACAAGATTTTGAAGAGAGCAAAAATAAACTATGAGTTTAATTGACCATGTGCAGCCAGAAATCTGAATGACTTTCTTTCATAGTCATTTTCTTCACCAGAAATATCATTGATTATCTCCTAGACTGCCTGAGGACTCAGAGTCCTCTTGAAAGAAACATTCTACTTCATACTCATTCATACCCTCTCATCTCTGCAGAATTACACAATTCCTGAAGAGACTTGCAGTTCTTCTCTCTATGGGATGTGTCACAATAAGAAATGTGTCAGAGATGAGACAAGCAAATGTAGCCAGAGATGAGATAAGCAAATGTAGATGTTAAATCTCTATCAGTTTCCCATAAATGGTAACGGTGCTGGGAGAAAGTTTTCTAACAGCCTATACTTTTCTCAAGGCCTTACAGGTGACATCCTTTAAAACAGTAATCTACCCTGGCCTACAGAAGTGTATTATCTATTTTGTTGTTTTGTTACAACTCATAATCCCTAGATATCTCTCATTCAGGCCCGTGGCTAGACCCCCGCTATCTACTGGTAGTGCCAAGACATGTTGAAAAGATGACATCGAGTAAAAGAAACCAGAGAAAAGTTAGCATCCAGCTCTGTTCACTTAAGGAATATCAACTAATATTTGTATTAAATATTTTGTTCCCCATGCTGTCCTTTACATGAATTTTTCCTCAATTAAACCTCAAGACCATCTCATAAAGTTGATTCTTATTATTCCTTCATTTTTAAGATGATGAAGCCTAGATGAGCAAAAGTTAAATAAATAGCTTAAAGCTTCAAGGTCAGGTAATCTGAGTCCAGAGCCTACAGTTTTCAACATCGCACTGCACCCCACGCTTGGACGAGGAGAAGAAAGAGTAGAGTGGCCACAGCTACAGCCAGCCTGTACATGGTCATCGTGCCTCAGGGTTTATAAAATGCTGTCACACATGTTGTAGCATTTGAACTCATTTACCACCACAAGAAGCTAGCTAATGCCAAGAGTGAAGTACCCTACACAGAGAACTTGGCAGAAATAAAACAAAGAATGAAACCTCTGGGAGGCTGAAAGGAGTGCTTAGGCATTGCTGTTCACTTCACTCCTGTCCTTGTATGAGCCTTAGCCCTGCTGTGTCTGTTACCAGCTCAGCGATTTCCACCATAGCACGCAGTCTTGGTCTGGGTTTGCATGGAACATTGTTTCTGTTCCTGGAACAGTGGGCAGATCTTGCCAGGAGTGACGTGCTCAGGTAAGTTGAGCTGGGATCCTTGCCGGCTCTCCTTGCCATGCTTTGTTTCTGAAATTGTACAGTGGAGGGTAGCATTGGGATCCTTGATTCACAGATCCATAGGCAGAAAGAAAAATGAGAAAGACTAGGGCTCAGTGTCCTATGCTCAGACAGGGCTGTATCAGATCTATTTGGGCCCAGAGGTAGCTAACCTACCAGTCATAAATACTAGAGGAAAATCTTAACAAAATAACTCAGGTATAAAAGTGTAGATGTGTAAAATGTGGGTCACTTTTTTGGGTTTTTTTGTTTTTTGTTTTTTGGTTTTTTTTTTGAGACATGGTCTTACTCTGTTAACCAGGCTGGAGTACAGTGGCACGATCACAGCTCACTGTAGCCTCTACCTCCTGGGCTCAGGTGATCCTCCCACCTCAGCCTCCCAAGTAGCTGGGACCACAAGTGCATACCACTGTGCCTGGCTAATTTTTGTGTTTTTTGTACAGAGAGGGTTTCACCATATTGCCCAGGCTGGTCTTGAACTCCTGGGCTCAAGCGATGTGCCTACCTCAGCCTCCCATAGTGCTAGGATCAAGATTAAGGAGTGACTGGGTAGGTCCAAGCAGCTAACCAACCTTGGGTTCTGCAGGTCCAGCTGTGATTTTATGCCACTGGTGCTGGCGGTTGTCTTCTCCTGGTTAAATATCAATAGGGGCAACTCTGGGTTCTATGGCTGTCTAAGGACCACAGCAAAGATTCAAGGAATCTCTGTGTGGTTGTCAGCTCAAAATTCAGGAAGATGAGGTCGGGGCGATTCTAAGAACATGGAAACCCCCCTTCCCCTTCTCCGCTTCTGGGGACAGGTTGCCTCTCATTACCCACTGGGCCTTTCCTTCCCTGCCCTTTTCTCCTCTCTCTTTCCTGTTCCCTTGAAGATAAAAGTTGGAGCCTGCTCCCATTTGTGTATGGGAGCTTGGCAAAAGATGGAAGCCAATAACCAAATGCCCACTTCATATGATCTCAGGTGCCTCATAGTGGAGTTTTACAGTACTTTGTTTTAGTTTTAAGCTTACCTGAGCTACTTCTATCAAGTCTTAAATAACTCTGCCATAAAGAAATCTTTGTCTTTTACCTAGCAGGTATCCTGTTTTACTTAAGACTGCATCCTCTTATTAGTTCTCAGGGAAGGGAAGTATGATCCTTCTAGTGATTCTTTTATACATAATTGTGTAGTTACCTAACTGCTTCCTGTGTTGACCACATCCCTCAGCAAGCACACGGCAAACGCTTTGAGAATAAGGATGGTGTCTTACCCTTCTTAGCTTCACCCACAGCACCCAACCATATGATGAATATCTACTAGGTGCTAAGTAAATATTTGATAGAAGAAATGGGTGAATGAATTAGATGATTTATTAAATAAATAATCTAACTCAGATTGTTTATCTTTATAAATCTTTTTTATTGGCAACACTTTTATTTTTCCTTACACAATGGTGTGTTGCTGGGGCCTAATGTTCTCACATAATGGTAGAAAACCAAAATTTGTTATCATCTCTTTAAAGAATTGAGAATTCTGTACAAAAAAGAAAAAGAAAAAGAAAAAAAATTACATAAATTAAAAGGATGAATACATTTACAGGTATAAATGCAAACCGCTTCCAACTCAAAGCAAGTAACAGCCCATGGTAGTCCAGTAGGAAAACATCAGCTAAGAAAGGAAACTGGGTTCTATGGCTTGGACTTTTCCAACCCTGACAGACAGGCAGGACAGAAACAACTGGTTCAGGAGCCCTTGCCAGCCTCTAGAGAAATCCCAGAACACTCAGCCCTGACACATTAATACCCTGCACAGATCAGAGGCTGCTGGCCATGCAGACTTACCAAGCCACAGACTTGTCTTCCACAAGCATGTTCTTACCTCAGCCATGAAGTGACCAAGCCATGTGTACTAAGGGTTGATATCAAAGATATGTACAGGGTACTGGGTATTAAACAAATACCAAGGGCAACAGTTAACTGGAATACAAGGTTAAAATCAGCAACAAGTTCTATGCTCCAGTGCTGATATCAGATACAAGCTTCAAGGACAATTTCTTTTCAAAGGCTTATTCTGGTATCGTGAGGACAGCATAAGGTGTATGCATTTTCCATGGGCAAATTTATACTTCTGAATTAACCCATGCAGAAATGCTATGCATCTGCTTGCAGTCCATTTAGAAGCATTTGCGGTGGACGATGGAGGGACCCGACTCGTGGTACTCCTGCTTGCTAATTCACATCTGCAGGCAGGTGGACAGTGAGGCCAGGATGGAGCCAGAGATTCACACTGAGTACTTGCACTCTGGGGGCACGATATCTTGATCTTCATGGTGCTGGGTGCCAGGGCAGTGATCTCCTTCTGCATCCTGTCGGTGATGCCAGGGTACATGGTGGTGCCGCCAGACAGCACTGTGTTGGCATACAAGTCTTTGGGATGTCCACCTCACTCTTCATGATGGAGTTGAAGGTACTTTCATGAATGCCACAGGATTCCATGCCCAGGAAGGAAGGCTGGAACAGTGCCTCGGACACCGGAACCGCTTATTTGCCGATAGTGATGACCTGGCTGTCAGGCAGCTCATAGCTCTTCTCCAGGGAGGAGGAGGATGCAGCAGTGGCCATCTCCTGCTCAAAGTCCGGAGCGACATAGCATAGCTTCTCCTTGATGTCGCGCACGATCTTCCACTTGGCCATGGCGGTGAAGCTGTAACTACGCTAGGTGGGGATCTTCATGAGGTAGTCAGTAAGGTCCTGGCCAGCCAGATCCAGATGCAAGACGGTGTGAGGGAGGGTGTAGCCCTCATAGATGGGCACCGTGTGGGTGACCCCATCTCCAGAGTCCATGACAATGCCAGTGGTGCGCCCAGAGGCATAGAGCATCAGCATAGCCTGAATGGCTGCGTACATGGCCGGGGTGTTGAAGGTCTCAAACATGATCTGAGTCATCTTCTCCCTGTTGGCCTTGGGGTTTAGCGGGGCCTCGGTCAGTAGCACCAGCTGCTCCTCCAGGGCCACGCACAGCTCGTTGTAGAAAATGTGGTGCCAGATCTTCTCCATGTCGTCCCAGTTTGTGACGATGCGGTGCTTGATGGGGTACTTCAGGGTCAGGATACCACACTTGCTCTGGGCCTCATTGCCCACATAGGAGTCCTTCTGGCCCATGCTCACCATCATGCCCTGGTGCCGGGGGCATCTGACGATGGAGGGGAACATGGCTCAGAGGGCATTGTCCCAGCAAAGCCGCTTTTCACATGCTGGAGCCATTGTCAATGAAGAGCGAGGGATCTCTTCTTCCATTGCCACAGGCGGAGTAGCACAGAGCAGAGGGAGGAGATGGCGCAGGGGCTGGCAGCGATGACTGAGCATCTTTATAAATCTTATCATAAAACTGAAAAATGCAATACTACATAAAAACTTTCTACTTCTTATGAAAAAAAAATGCCTCCTTACCTGATCTTTTCTCACAGATTTCCTCAATCTCAGAGCATCAGAGAGAAGAAGAGGCCATCATTCATTCATTCAACAAACATTTATTGAGGGCCTACTATGTGCCTGTGCCAGGCACTGTAACAGGCCTTGGAAAGACAGGACAGCTCAGTGAAAAACACAGCCCAAGTCCTTGCCCTTACTGAGCTTACATTTTATAGGCATTTAGTGGTTAGAAAGTACTACAGACTGAATTGTATCCACTTCCAACCCCAAATTCATATGTTGAAGCCATAACCCCCAATGCGACTATATGTGGAGACAGGGCCTTTTTGTAGGTAATTAATGCCAAATGGGGTCATAAGGGTGGGGTCTTAACCCAGTAGAACTGGTGTCCTTATAAGAAGAGGAAGAGGCCGGGCGCAGTGGCTCACGCCTGTAATCCCAGCACATTGGGAGGCTGAAGCGGACAGACCATCCTGACTAACATGGTGAAACCCTATCTCTACTAAAAATATAAAAAATCAGCCAGGCGTGGTGGCAGCCGCCTGTAGTCCCAGGTACTAGGTAGGCAGAGGCAGGAGAACACCATGAACCCAGGAGGCAGAGGTTGCAGTGAGTCAGGAACACGCCACTGTACTCCAGCCTGGACAACAGAGTGAGACTCTTTCTCAAAAAAAAAAAAAGAAGAAGAAGAAAAACAGATGCCAGAGACTGCTCTCTTTCCACATACACAGAGAGAAAAGGCCATGTGAGGAAACAGCTAGCAGGCAGCCTCTGGCAAGCCAGGAAGACAGGCCTCACTGGAGCCTCACCTTGAAGGCACCTTGATCTTGGACTTCTCACCTCCAGAACTACAAGAAAGTAAATTTTTGTCTAGCAAAATACTTAGACTGTGGTATTTTGTTATGAAAACCTGAGTAGATTAATGTAAAAAGTGTCAACGGCTACTGTAAGATAGAAGAGGAGAAAGGAAAGAAAGGAAATTGCTCACAGAACAGGAACACTGAATGATTGTAATCACTATTTTGAATTTTTTTAAAGTTATTTTACAAGATCCTTTATTCTTTATGGATTCCAGTAGAGGAAAATCGACAACTTTCCATGATACTCCCCTTGATTCCCTGGTTTCCTCAGCACCATCTACAGCCTTTTGCTGCATGGTTATGTCTAATGTTTATCTGCCTCCCGAGGCTCATATAGCATTCCCATAGGATGTCTCGGCCTCGTTCAGACACCAGCTGCTGCTGCTCAGAGGCTGCTCTAAATATAACTGCATTCCTCTCAGGGTTTTCTCTTTTCTCCAGTGAATCAAACGCTTTGATTCTCAGTTCTGGTTTTAATTGACCAACCAGGTAATTTATTTCCAAATATAAACGATCTCCCTTCTGTATTTCAGAATTGTAAAAGACAGTCTGCTCTCCTTTGACTCTTGAATTAAGTAAGCATATACCCCAGCTAATGGCCACATGGGTCTATCCCCTGATCCCTCAACTAAACTCTGGGTGTTTGTATGTGTTATCTATTGCCATTTAATAAATTACCATAAGTGTAATGGTTTTAACAACACACATTTATTATCTCCACATCTGTGGGTCAGGAATCCAGCTGAGCTGGGTCCTCTACTTCAGGGTCTTTCACAAGGATACAATCATATTGGTGACCAGGGCTAGGGTCTCATCTGCAAGCTCGGCTGGGAAAGGATCCACTTCCAAGCTCACTCAGGTTGTTGGCAGAATTCTGTTCCTCAAAGGCTGCTGGACTGAGGGCCTCAGTTCCTTGCTAGCTGTTGGCCAAGAGCCACCCTAAGATCCTTGTCACATGAACCTCTTCTTGCTACACGGGGCTCTTGAACATGGCTATTTCCTTCACCAAAGCATGAAAGCCAAGAAGACAAATAGAGAAAATCTGCTAATGAGACAGAGGTTACATGCTTGTAACATAATTATGGAAATGATAGCTCATCACCTTTGTTGTTATCCTCTTAATCAGAAGCAAGTCACAGGTCCACACCACTCAAGGGAGAGTAGGTTCATATGCAAGGAGGCAGGCATAATCGGGGATATCGGGAGGCAGGCATTATCAGGTCATCTCAGAAACTTCCTCCCACAGTACTGGTGAGCAGAAAATAAGCCACTTGTATCCATTACTCATCCCTACATCTCTTCTGCTTACTTTCTTATTTCTTAAGAAAAGAAAGCCTCAGGAAGGTGATACTGGTTTGGTTGTGATCATCAATCTCTTAGACATCATAGGTCAATTCTGTGAAATTTCTCCGGCACTCCAGACACCTCTTACCATGAGCCACTTGAATGACAAATAGGTACCCTCTACTAAACCCACCTGACATGGGATGTACATAATGTCTGCCAAAAACTACCCTTCCTTTCTCAGGGAATGAGCCATACTATCAGAATTTCTCAAGCCAGAAACTAAGTTACCCTGACTCCTTCCTCTCCATCACTCTGCCTTTATGGAGCAAAATATTAAGCATGTATTTCAAAAAAAGTATAAATTATGTGGAAGGGAATCTATGAATGAGGGTAGCTATTTGGTAATGATGGAGATAGGGTAACACAACAAGGGAATTCCCATGTGATTTGGGTAAATTAATTGACATCTCTAAGATATAGTTTTCTCAACTAAGAATGGAGGGATAATAATAGTAGACATAAATCAAGGAATTGTTATGAGGATCACAGGAAATGATATCTCTGAAATGCTTGTATATCTTACATCCCACAAGCCCTCTATATATGTCAGCTACTATATCAGCTGTTAGAGAACCACATCATGGCTGTCATCGTTTGCTCACTAACTCAATAGTGTCTTCTCTCTTACATCCTCCACTTTAGAGACTAAGAAGCTAATTACTCATTTTCCCAGCCTCTCTTGTAGCTGGGGCTTCCCAGGGGACAGAGTTCTCGAAAAGCTTTTGTTTTTCTAATGAGAACATCTTTCTTTCTTGAACAAAGATTCAGTGTCTGCAGTGTCAGCAACCATCTGTGTCCATGAGGTAGCAAGCATTTAGTTGAACATGAGTACACTAAGGATGGTGGAGTGGAATCTCTGAGAATTCTGTCAAACAGCAGAACCAATCCAGCATCCAGCTACCTGCAGGCTCCTTGTTACCTGAGAACATGAAACCTCTCCAAGTTTAAGCTACTGTTGATCAGGAATTCTGTTATTTGCAGCTGAAAGCACTCCTAACAGATATATTTGTCAGTAGCCTAGAAGTCAAATATCTGAAATGTTAAGTCCATACATTTTGGCTATGATCATAACCTCTATTAACTCAAGGCTTGAAATCCTGTCTCTTTCTACACTGGATAACTTTTTATGTAGTGTAAATTCAGAAAAATTTTGTGGCCTCTCTAATGTTCTCTGTTTGTTCTTCTTGCTAGTTTACTACGTTTACCTAAAAACTGTATCCCTGACAGTGAAAGCAGCCCCACATATTCAAGGCTCCAATATTATGTCAAAGAAGTAGTAAGAAGAGAAAAGGTATCAATACTAAAAAGAGGCAGAACTTCAGAAAGAGACAACAAACAAAAGAGGAGGGAGGGAAATACAGAGATATAACCATATACAACATCAGCCCTTGGTGTTCAAAGTTTTACTTTGTAGTTATATTTTTAGAGATGGGGTCTCATGCTGTTACTCAAGCTGGAGTGGAGTGGCATGATCATAGCTTACTGCAGTGTTAAAGTCCTGGGCTCAAATGATGCTCCAACCTCCTAAGTAGCTGAAAGTATAGGCACAAGCCACTGCACTAACTAGTTTTTTGTTGTTGTTGTTTGTTGTTTGTTTGTTTGTTTTTAATTAATAGAGATGGCGTCTCACCATGTTGCTTAGGCTGATTTCAAACTCCTGATCTCAAAAAGTCTTCCGTCTCAGTCTCCCAAAATGCTGGGATTATAGGTGTGAGCCACTGTGCCCAGGCTAAAGTTCTTACAGTATTGATGTTAGATGTTGCCCTCAAGCATACATTTATTACATGACTTTCTCCCACATTCTGTCTCTTCCTAAGAATTCTCAGGAGGGATATTTCAGGATCATAAAACACACACACACACACATATATATATATATATATATATAGACTTCAGACAGGCAATATACAAAGTAGATAAGTGTCTATCCAATGTAAGTTAAGGGCCCAGTGAAAACTTACCTTCTGCAAAATATCTGGTCTATACTCCTGCCTGTAAATGCCAATACCTGGCTGAAAATGCTATCTTGAGACTTACTAATGTGCAGATGACACAGCAATGGACTGAGTCAAGAACTGCAATGGCCACTAGCCACCTGTAGCTATTAGACACTTGAAATGTAGCCAGTGCTATATATTGAAGTTAAGGGCCCAGTATGTCGAATACATTAAATGAATAAGTCAGCAGAGCTTTAATAAACAATCAGATTAACATCCCAGTAGGAGAATTACAATCCCATAAGTAGTAGATTTAAATCCTTACTGGTCCCAAGTTGTGGGTCAGCAAAAGCATTTGCCTGTAGATTTTGGGGGGAACACACAGCCATTACATTGCTTGGTGGTCTCTGTGTGGGTTCCTTTTAAAGTTATTCCTGTTTGAGAGTAGCAAAAAGAGGCATTTTCCAGATGACAAGATTTTGTGTTTTAGAACACTCTGGAAGCCAAAGCCAAAACCTTCCACATTGTTTCAATTAATAAAGAAAAAAAGAGAGACATTTACTTGAGTGTAGAACTACTAGTCAAATTAGAAAGATGTTTAACTCAAACAAATGCTCTAAGTATAGCCCTAGCAGGGCTTCTCCCTCTCTTTGTAGCAGAAGCTGAGCTATTCCAGAACCTTCAGGTCTTCAGCCAGCTTAGTTAGTATAAAAGGGAGGCAAATACACAAGCACTAAACTCTGAATGCAAAACAAAAGAATCCCCTTCTCCCTTAAATCAGCTGGTGAATAGCCAACAGGAAGATCCTCTAG